CCTTTCATTTGAGCCACTGAGTCTTCCTATTCTTAAATATTTTAAAATTTAAATATAGGCTGGGCTCGGTGGCTCAGCCTGTAATCCCAGCACTATGGGATGCTGAGTTAAGTGGATTGCCTGAGCCCCCGGGTTTGAGACCAGCCTGGGCAACTTGGCAAGACCTCGTCTCTACAATAAATATACTTTTAAAAAGTTAACCAGGCATGATAGCGTTCACCTGTAGCTCCGGCTACTTGGAAGGCTGAGGTGGAAGGATTGCCGCAGCCTAGCAGGTCGACACTGGGGTGGCCGTGAGCATGCCACTGCACTCCAGCCTGGGCAACAGAGACTCCGTCTCAAAACAAACAAACAAACAAACAAATAAAAAATTTAAGTATTGTTTAAAGAGTTAGAGTTATGACTCAAAATTTGAAAGGAACATGGGGAAAAGTCTCCCTCCTACTCTTGGTTTCCAGACATCTAGCTTCTCTCTCCAAAGGCAATCTATTACTAGTGCCTTGATGTATCCTTCTAAAGATATTCTTTAAATAAAAAGCATAAATGCATAAACATATGCCTATATTAAATTTCTTTTGTTTGTTTGTTTGTTTTGAATCTGAGTCTTACTCTGTTGCCCAAGCTGGAGTGCAGTGGCATGCTGCTCATGACCATCGCAGCCTCAACCCGCTGGACTCAGGCGATCCTTCCACCTCAGCCTTCCAAGTATCTAGAATTACAAGCATGCGCCACCACACCCAGCTAATTTTGTTATGTACTGTAGAGACAAGGGCTCACCATGTTGCCCAGGTTGGTCTCAAACCTGCAGGCTCAGACCATCCTCTTGCCTCAGCCTCCCAAAGTGCTGGGATCATAGGCATGAGCCACTACACCTGGCTTATTAAATTTCTAACAGCAGAATTGCTGGCTCAAAGAGAATGTGCCTTTGAAATTCTGAAGGAAATTGTCAAATTATGGCTCCTTTAAAGGAGAAGTCCTAGCTGACATTCCCATCAGCAGTCTATGGGAGTATCTGTTTCCTCACATACTCACCAACCCTGTGTTACCAAACATTTGGATTTCTGCCAATATGACAGGGGAAAATAGTATCTCAGTGTCATTTTAATTTGCATTTTTTAAAATGTGAGTGAGACGGAGCATCTTTTGATATGTTTCAGAGTCATCTTGTATTTTTTTCTATGAAGTCCCTATTTCTTCTGCCTATTCGTCTACTTGGTAGGTGATAATTTCATTCTTATTTATAAGAGCTCTCCCCTTTCTCTATTTTAAAAGGAAAATAGCCCTTTGATTTTAATGATAGTTGTAAATATTTTTCTTTTTCCATTGTTATTTGGTCAGTTGTCTCTTGATGTCGCTTTTACTGTATTGTTTTATATGTAGATCTTTTAAAATGCGGTCGAATTTCTCTTTTTTTCCTTTTGTGGCTTCTAAATTTTAAAGTCTCAAGCTTGTGTTACTTAAATACAGGGGACCCCTGCCTTCGACTTGCTCAATAAGCCAACAGGAAAGTCAAGAAAAGTACCTAAGTAGAGGTTACTATATGATAGTGTTCTAAGTTGGCTCAAAATGCTATTTCTTCATCTATCTATCCATACATCTAATTATAAATCTATTTGTTCATCTGTCTATTCGCCATTCATTTATCAAGCCATTGCTGAACTCTAAGGACAAGGAAAGTTATGGAAAAAGATGACATTTTATAGTAATGAGTCTCGTGGGCTGGGATGAGAGAAATCAGATCTGAATCCCAGTTCTATGTTTACCCCCACTGTGGCCTTGGGCAGGTTACTTCTTGTATTATCCCATGAGATACAACAGAAATGTAGAATATGGAGAGGTCAAGAATTAGAGGTCAAAGAACAAATGTAGTCAGTGGCTTAGGGAGGGAGCTGTACGGTGAATGCAAATGCCTAGATTTGTGATTTCAGGTGGTTAAATTTGAATTCTGACAAGGTCAAGAGAGTGACCAGGATGTGAACAGGACAATGAACTGAAGGGCCTCCTTGTTACATGGTCATCACAGAGTCCTTGAAATCACCCAAGATAATGGCAGGACACAGAACGATGAAAAGCCTGTTCTCAATGAGCTAAGGGAGATGGCTCTATGGAGGGTAGCAGGGATGAGATAGAGAGGGGACAACCAGAGCTCCCACAAGCAGGTATACCTATATGGGTCTGGGCAAGTAATGGTCAGAAAAGGGTGATATGAAATGAGGATGGTTCCCTCCTTACCTGTGACTGAGTCGAGAAAGCCATCTCCTTTGAGAAGAAAGTGAAGGAACTTTGGGGAAAGTGACATTTTAGCAACAACCTAAAATAAAAACTGTTTCTCTCCTCATAACACTTCTGACACCAAATGTTTGAGGATTTTTTCCCAACATCAACCAGATTTCCAACTCTGACACCAAATGAGTGTCCCATAATTTAGTTTGGTTCTAACACTATCTGGAGTTTGCTCAGATGCTCCAGGTTAAGGGCTCAGTCCTACAAGACTGCACTCCATGTCAGATGCCAATGACAAGTGATAGGTCTCCAGGTTTCCCACACTTCTGACTGACTTGACTACAAATTAAACATTCTCATGACCCCTCCTCCATTAGGTTTGATAACTTGCTATAGTGGTTCACAGAACTCAGGGAAGAACTTTACTTACTATCACTGGTTTATTACAAAGGGCATACAAATGAGCAGCCAGATGAGATCTGAAAGGGTCCTTAGCACAGGAGCTTCTGTCCTCCATGAAGTTCATGGTACACCACCCTCCCTATGGATGAATTCACCAACCTGGAATCTCTCTGTCTCTTTGTCTTTTATGGAGGGTGCATTGTGTAGGCATGACTGATTAAACTATTGTCCATTGGTGATTAATTCAGTCTCCAGGTTGGTTCTTTTTTCTTTCTTTTTAAAATTTTTCGTTAGTTCATGAATTGGACATGGTTGATTCTTCTGGCAACCAGCCCCCATCCTCTAAGACTCACTTCATTAGCATAAACTCAGGTATAGTTGAAAGGGGCTTATTATGAATAATAAAGGATATGTTTATCAGAATGTATCCCCATTGTAAGTTGAGGAACATCTGGAATTAGGATGGTTCAACTTACAATTTTGGACTTTACAATGGGTTTATTGGTGTATTAAATGCATTTTCAGCTTGCAATGTTTTCAATTTCAATGAGTTTATTAGGACATAATCTCATCATAAGTCAAGGAGCATCTGTTCAAGGGCTTTAGGAGCTCTGTTCCGAAACCAAACATATATATTTTTATTGTACCACAATATCGTACAACCCCCATAGCAAACAGTGGCAAAGTGGAATTGAGAGAGGACGCTATGGAGTGAAGTTTTCAACATGAATCTCAGACCTTTCAAAGCCTCAAGTGGCAGCCCTTATTAGTGGCACCCCTGTGGGTTCCCCTAAAGTCAATGCAAGACCAGCCTGATTGAAGGAAAACTGGGAGACAGTGGGGTGGGTGGCTGAACGCTATGGTTCAGTGACCTCTGGATCCATAAACCAGGATTCTCAGGAGTCCCCATTCTGAATCGAGTCTCAGTTCCTGTCATATTTATGTCAAAGGCCCAAGACTTTCCTCCTCCCATGAACAAACAAGTCACACCCTGCACCAACCAAAGTCCATCTCATCTTCCAGCTACCCTAGAGCATAAGGAGTTTTATTTTTCTGGTAATTCAGTATTTCTAGGATAGGGTGAGTTTCTCCACCCCCCCTCCTGAATTTTACTGATCTATGAACATATATAATTGGCATAACTTAAGAACTGTTCACCTACTGACCATCTCTCCAGGTCTGGAGCTGGAGAAAATGATCTGAAATTGTAGCAGGAGAAATTAAGGTAGGATACTAAGAAAGCTTTTCAGGGGGTGGGGTGGGAGGGGCTAGAGGTGTTGTACAAGGAAATAAGAGTGAATGCACAGTATTTAATGAAAGTGATGGGAGTGGGACACTTTCTTCTTTATTTTTGAGTTGGAGTCTCACTCTGTCGCCCAGACTGGAGTGCAGTGGCACGCTTCCGGCCACCACAGCCTCGACCTGCTGGGCTCCGGCGATCCTTCCTTCCACCTCAGCCTTCCAAGTAGCTGGAACTACAGGCGCACACTACCACGCCCGGCTAATTTTTTATTTAATGTAGAGGCGAGGTCTCGCCGAGTTGCCCAGGCGGGTCTCGAACCCGCGGGCTCAGGCATTCCACTCACCTCAGCCTCCCAAAGCGCTGAGATTACAGGCTGAGCCACCCAGCCCGTCTCACTTTCTTCTTTGAGTCATCTTTGGAGGTGGTTTGACAGGAAGAAGCAAAGTGGCTTCAAACATTACACAAGTCTCTGGTCTTTTCTAGGGCTTATTTTCTTTCCCTTTCTTTCAGTGTGGAATCCATATGACCCTGACTGGGATATTGGTTGGGAGAATGACTAGTTGATAGAGATGCCGCTGAAATGATTGGTATAATAATGGACAGCAGTAAGCCATCTAGTGTGCCAGGGTGGGAGAGAGAAGTTCAAACCCCAGCTAAAATCAACTGACAGCCAGGCAGAGGAGATTCAACCTGTAAGTTTATGGTGATCTGGCTTCTGGCCATGACAATGATATCCTGGCCTTTTAATTTGGGGCTGTAAAAATACTCACAGAAAGTTCTCAAAAGGAAAATAGAATTGGTTCTTGAATCACTTGCTTCCTCCAAGTGTATGAAAAATAAAGATCTCAAGTTTAGAAAATGCAAGGGAACCAGGGGGTGCATGTCAAAGCTGAAGGAATATTTATGAAACCTGTGCAGAATTGTGGTATGTGTGGTCATTGCGACGGGCCCCTTGATGGAGAGTGGGGAGGGGCCTGAAGTTGGAGGCTGAGTCGTGTCTTCCCGGCTGCTCCAGGGCTGCGTCCTTCCGGCTGGGCCCTCTTATCTGGGACTGTTGAGTGCAACAGACCTTCCAAAGACCAGAAGGGAAGGAGGCTATGTAGACAGGAGCCTGCCAGGGTGGTAGGAAGCCATGGTCCCTTTGCACAAGGACAGCCAGGAGGAGGGCATCTGCCCCATCTGCCAGGAGCGCCTGAAGGAGGCTGTGAGCACCGACTGCAGACACCTCTTCTGTCGAGTTTGCCTGACGCAGCACATAGAGAAGAGCTCTGCTTCTGGAGCCCTCTGGTGCCCCCTCTGCCGGAAACCCTGTTCTGAGGGGGTGCTGGGAACAGGCTATATTTGCCCCAGACACCAGAAGAAGGTGTGCAGGTACTGTGAGGAGACCAGACTTCTTCTGTGTGTGGAATGCTTGGCATCCCCTGAACACAAGTCTCATCGTGAGCTGACCATTGAAAATGCCATCAGCCACTACAAGGTAAGGCCGGGACACCACAGTCAGACCACTCCCCCCACCTCTCTGAGTTACTCCTTCCTACTCATTTGTTATACCTGGCACCTCAGAGAGGCTCAGTAACTGGCATTTCTCTTTGTTTCTTCTGCTTTATCCTTTTTTGGACCTTTATCTTTGCTTTTCTGTGAATAGTTTGCTATTAATGTTGATGTTTAAATGCATTAATATGACTCTATCTAAAAGAAGATACTGTGTCACTATGATGTCAGAGTCTCAGGAAGCAGGAACCATTTTCGGTCTGCTCATCTGGAGAATGAAAATGGACTAGATAACGCAAAACCCTTCTAGTGCTAAGACTCTATGGCTCCCTGGTTGATAGTACTAGAAACTTGACTAGACGTGAAATCAGATTTTACATATGCTAATATTTCTCCTGCAAGCATATTGATACCTAGAAATTAGTATATGATTCTCTCTTTCTCTTTACTCTAAAATGATCTTTTCTTTCCTTTTTTCTTCCTTTCTGTCGTGATTTTTGTCTTCTTTTATTAAATTTTTGTCATAAAAGTTACATGCTCTTGGTAATAAACTCAGATAACATGGAAAAGGTATAAAGCTAAAACTAAAAATCTTACTTCCCTCCTCCTTCCATTCTTGGTCCCCAGAGAAAAATATTGTTAGATTTTTGTGTATCCTTGTAGAAAAATTTTTTGTGTGTGAATGCCCTCTTTACACACACATAATGGATTTTCTATATTTTTCCCTATAACTCATTTTTATCATCTAAAAATATACCTTGAACATTTTTCCATCACTGTGTATAGATCTTCTGAATTATTTTCAACAACTGTGTGATATTGAATTTTATGAATGTACCATCAATCTGCAGACATTGAGCTATTTCCAGATTATTGTTTTGTTTTAAGATTACACAGTATGTTGCAATAAATATCCTGCAACATATCTTTTGGAGGACCCAGAATATCCAAAATGTACTTTAGTGAAAATATAAAGTAGGAATTTAACTTTACTTTTTCCAAGTTACACTCAATTTGTCCTATCATCATCTACTGAATAATTCATATGGTTTTGCCATTGATTTGAATGCCACCTTCATAATATACTATATATGCATATTTGGTTACAAATTTTTACCTATTCTGTTCTACTGTCTATTCCTGCATACGAGCCAAACCATTTTAGACATTGTACCTTTGCAATGTTTTAATGACAGATATTGTGATAGAATCCTCACAATACTTATTTTTCAGAATTTTTGTGAATATATATATTTTTTTCTTTTTTTTTTCTGGCCAATTAGCTTTAGAATTATTTTTACCAAACTTCCCCTCCTCCCTACAATTCAATTAGTATTTGATTGGTTGGAAAATTGACAATATTTTTACATGTGTCTTTCTATCCAACAGTAAAGGCTGAATTTCCAAAGTCTTCTTTCAGATACTTGACTTTTAGAGAACATGTGGTGACACAGGATGAGAAAGTGAGTGGTGCAGATTGGAGGTGACTATAGAAAGGTAGAGAAATAATTAAAAAAGCCAAAGAGGGAAAGTTCTCTTTGGTTCTAATATAATTCACTCTAGTCATAGTGTCAACAGGAGAGTGGAAAGGAGTTTCCCACCTGTTGATGAGGCAGACATGAGATGGAGAAATCTATTTATTTAGGTTTGTATTTTGTGTTAGGTGTTGTGATAGGCATTGTAGGAAGTACAAAGATGATTTATAATCCTTGTCCTCAAGTCTATCTCTAAATAGTAACAAGAAATTTCGAACAAATAAATAACGACATTTTTTTTTCATTAAAGAAAAGCTTAATAAGTTCCTGTTGTGTGCGAGGAACAGCAATATATACTAGGAATCAGTGACGAACAAGACAGATGCTGTCCCTACTGCCAGGAATTGCAGTTTAGTAAAGGAGACAGACAAGTAAGAAATCAAAGAACTATAATTTTTTTATGAGCTAGGAAGAAAACAAACAAGAGTCTGAAACAGAGAGTAATTGGGTGATCCATGTTAGTGTGGTCAGAAAGAACCTCATGGATGTGGTGACATTGAAGACCTAGAAGAGAACTGAATCAGTGCAAAGACTGGGAGGCAGGGAGCACATGCAGAGGCTCTAATCTGGGAAAGTCTTGTTATATTTGAAGTATTTATTATTAGAGTTTAAATCAATAAGATTTGCTGATAGATCAGAAGTGGGGTAAGGGAATAAGGAGGATCAAAGGTAACTTCATGAGTTTCTGGTTTGAGAAACTGAATGAGTGATGTAAAAGATAAAGACTTGGAAGAACAGGTTTGAATGAAACATTAGGAGTTTCACTTAGGACAAGTTGACTCCAAGTTGAGACACATTGAAGTAGGATCTTAGATAGGCACTTTGATTCAAATCTAGATCGCCAAAGAGAGTGTGAGGTGGTATTCCCAGAACTTAGAACAGGGAACCATCAGAATAAAGATGATATTTAAATCCAAGGGAATAGATGCTATATACCCAGGAGAGAGTCTAGAAAGAAAAGAAATTCCAAGGCAAGGTTCTGAGAAGGGCCAACATTTAGATGTAGTAGAAGAAGACCTAGAGAAGGAGGTTTATGTCGATCCACCAGAAAGGCCAAAGAACAACAAGGGCAGTGATGTCCCAGATGCTAAGAGAGAAGAGTGTTTTCAGAAGTGACAATAGATTGTGTTGAATGATGCTGAGCAGCCCAGTAAAATGGTAGCTGAGAAGTGGGCCACTGGGTTAAAAGGAGGTACCCAGTACCATTATAACAGTAGAAACAAAGGAAGGTGTCTGCAAGTGCTGGTGGTTCTGCAGTTTTGGAGATGGCTTGGGTGTTCTGGTTTTTATTTCCTCAATAATATGTTAGGGAGGAACATCAACAGTGTGAGCAGAGGTCAGAATGTGAAAGGTTTAAAAAGAGACAAGACAGTGTGACATAGTTTGGGAAAGTGAACCTATGAGACAAACTGAGTAGGGCTGGCAGACAGTATGGAACACCAGTTTCAGATTTGAAACTAGAAATTTAGCATATTTCAAGAGGCTTCTTGAGGACATGCAGCAATGAAAAGGTGATGGTACATTTTATTTAAGATAAGGAGTTGTCTGAAAAGTAATAGAGAGAGACAAGAGAGTTGAGCGTATTTCCGAAGAAGTGATTATAATGGTGTACCTCATGTGTGCTTGTAGATGTTAATAGCACAGTAGTGAAATTGTTTGTTTATAGCTGGGCTCGGTGGCTCAGCCTATAATCCCGCGCCTTTGGGAGGCTGAGGTGAGTGGCTTGCCTGAGCCCGCAGGTTCGAGACCCACCTGGGCAGGCAAGACCTCATCTCCACAATAAATCAAAAAATCAGCCGGGCGTGGTAGCACATGCCTGTAATTCTGGCTACTTGGAAGGCTGAGGCGGAAGGATAGCTGGAGCCCAGCAGGTCGAGGCTGCGGTGGCCAAGAGCGGCCACTGCAGTCAGTCTGGGCGACAGAGTGAGACTCCAACTCAAAAAAAAAAGGAAATTGTTTGTTTATTATGTCTCCATTTCTTGAATTAAATGTGTAGATTAAAAATTGCAAATTACGTTCTTTTAAAAAGAATTATGTAATTCCGGACTTTAGAAAGACTGAAAAATTTGTAAATTTACAGTCTTTTTTTTCACATTGTTTATTTAAAATTCTTCTTTTTTTTAACGTAGGCATTTATTACTATAAACTTTTTTTTTTTTTTTTGAGTTGGAGTCTCACTTTGTCGCCCAGACTGGAGTGCAGTGGTATGCTCCTGGTCACCACAGCCTCGACCTGCTGGGCTCTGGGGATCCTTCTGCCTCAGCCTTCCAAGTAGGTGAAACTACAGGCACACGCTACCATGCCCAGCTAATTTTTTGATTTATTGTAGAGATGAGGTCTTGCCAAGTTGCCCAGGTGGGTCTCAAACTCGCGGGCTCAGGCAATCCACTCACCTCAGCTTCACAAAGTGCGGGATTACAGGCTGAACCACCAAGCCCGGCTACTATAAACTTTTGATACAGATTTTTCTGTGGTCAGCTGGGTTGCTAGAGTGTCAGCTCAATGGGTAAGCAAGGCAAGCCCCAAAGAGTATCAGGTCTTGGCTGGGTACGGTGGCTCACACCTATAATCTCAGTACTTTGGGAGGTCAAGGTGAGATGATTGCCTGAGGCCACAGGTTCGAGACCAGCCTGGGCAACTTGACGAGACCTAATCTCTACAATAAATAAAAAAATTAGCCGGGCATGGCGGTGCATGCCTGTAGTTCCAGCTACTTGAAAGACTGAGGTGGAAGGATTCCCTGAGCCCAGCAATTTGAGGCTGCAGTGACTAGGAGTGTGCTACTGCCCTCCAGCCTGGGTGACAGAGTGAGACTCCAACTCAAAAAATAAAAAAAAGAAGAGTATCAGGTCTTATTTATAAACATTAGTGTCAGTTTACCTTAATGTATTTTGCTGGTTTAATAAGTATATAATAGTGACTTAAGTTGTTTTACTTTGCTTAATTATGAGTGTTGGTGGTGAAGTTTTTATCTATGACTACTCACTGCTTACCCTTTCCCCTAGAATCAAAGCATTCTACACGATCACATCAAAGTAGTTTACTTTTTTAGATAATGAGCCATATTAGTTATATCTAACCTACTTTCTTATTCTGTTATTTCATTTCTTTAATTGCATTTTGGGGACAAAATTTTTAGAAATTTATATTTAAATTAGTTCTATTCCTTTTAACAATATAATACCCATGTCTTAAATACTCAGAAGTTTGTCTAGTATGATTATGCTTTTGCTTTATTTTTAAAGATTTATTACTTCTGGTTTATTTGGCATTTAATATAGTATGTTGTGTGAAGGATGACTCTATGTCAACTTTTTTCATTCTGGTATCCAGTTGTCCCCTCAAACATTTCTTTTTTTTTTTTTGAGTTGGCGTCTCACTCTGTCGCCCAGACTGGAGGGCAGCTGCT